ATATTTTTTTGGGGGGGGGATGAACAAATTTCTATGCCCCACAAATAACCCAGAGATGCATTTTAAATCAAAGCACACATTCTACTCATTCTAAAAACACGCTGATTCTTGGACCATCCGCGGGCCAGATTTAGAAGGTGATTGGGCCAGATTTGGCCCCGGGCCTTAGTTTGCCTACCCATGTACTATATGGTACTATTGTACTGGAACCAGGAGACACACCTTTCCAGACACACATACAATTAGTGCCCTGCTTGTCAATTTCAGTTTGCTGCTAGGAGACCTTTTAGGAGACCTTTATTAGCCTGATCCAGCATACATGCATGCTCGCACACACAAAAAAACTTTCCTTTGAAATGTTGAGAGAACAGTTATATCACTTCTAAAGCCACTTAGGTGCAGGAACACTTTGTTATTCTAAACTGAATACATTTTGAGGCAATATATTTCATTAAGTCTCTGCCAAGTTTACAAGAATTCCATCAGTGACTAAGGGTGGTATGGCTTCTAGTTAGTAAATAAATAAAAAAATGGTAGTCATAAACTAATACAGTTTAAAAAGAAAGAAGGAAAGAAAACCAGAGGATCAACTGAGTTGACAACTTCATTAATGCTGGTTTGGCGATGTATCATTTAAAGACATTCTTTTATGTATGGTGCGGAGAGAAGTAAAGGTGAAATGAAAGGGTTAGTTATCATCAAGATTTAACAGCAATTACTTTATAATTGGGTAAATGCTATACTTTGATACCAATTGTATGCTTTAATCAGTGTACTGTAATCCAGTCATTATAACTTTAAAGAAAGAGCACCTGGGGGCTCAAATTAAGATGTTAAAGAGTTTGGTTTACGATGTGGTGGTTAAGCTGGCGCATTATATCTTTTGAAAGTGGTGGGCTGTTAAACTCAGTAGCTGGTGGCATGTAGGAGTAATTCCTCTTTCCCGCTGTCAGAAAGCATGGTCTTAAACCGGCCTGCTTTCTTTAAATGCAAAACTGACAGACCCACAATGTTCGCCGGGGGATGTGATGTTTTTAGGCTGACTTTTCCCCAAGCATCTGCTGACAGGATTTCAGGACAAAGGGGGGTAAGGAAGCTCTCTGTTGGGAAATAAGATACTGCTACAGATTTCTAAGGAAATCAGGATCACTGGCACTAAGCTCCAGACAGCTGGGGATGTTGCATTGCACTTGGCTCACGACGGCAGAGAAAGCATGCTGCGAAATGCACTTTCAGGAATGCCAGATTACAGAAGGTTGTAGCAGGGGTTGCACCCTTGCTGCTGAGTTTATCTTGCGGCAGTGATGGGGAACCTGCTGTGGCACTTCAGAAGTTTTTGGACTCCGATTCCCATCAGCCCCAGTCAGTGTGACCAATGGTCAGGGATTATGGAAGTTGTGATCCAAGTTCCCCATCCCTGTTCTGTGTCCAGGCCTGGCCCTACCACCAGGCAAAAGAAACAAACAAACAAAAACACCACTCTTAGGTGAAAGATGCTGGGGCAGTGTATGCTGCGTGGATCATGCTAGACTGCATTCAACCACACATTTAAATCACTATGATACCACTTTAAATGGCCATGGTTTGCACCAAACAATTTTGGGAGGTACAGTTTGTTAGCAGCACTAACAGACCCTCCAAGTGTCCCTGTTCTCCAGGGACAGTCCCAGATTTACAGAGGCCACCCAGTTTCTGATTTGATCCCGGAATGTTCTGCTTTTCCTTAGGATGTCCCTATTTTCATTGGAGAACTGTTGGAGGGTATGGCAGGACATTCCTATTTTCATTGAAGGGTATGGAGTTATGCAACTCTCGAGCCAAGGATATAAGTAACTACAGTGGTACCTTGGGTTAAGTACTTAATTCATTCCGGAGGTCCGTACTTAACCTGAAACTGTTCTTAACCTGAAGCACCACTTTAGCTAATGGCGCCTCCTGCTGCTGCCCCGCCGCCGGAGCACGATTTCTGTTCTCATCCTGAAGCAAAGTTCTTAACCTGAAGCACTATTTCTCGGTTAGCGGAGTCTGTAACCTGAAGCGTATGTAACCTGAAGCATATGTAACCCAAGGTACAACTGTACTGTATATACCTTTTAGAAGACATCTGAATGCAACTCTGTATGAGGAAGTTTTTTAATGTTTAATGCATAATTATGCTTTTTTATATATGTTGGAAGCTGCCCAGAATGGCTAGGGCAATCCAGCCAGATGTGTGGGATATAAATAATAACATTGTTATTGTTTTTATTGAATAGTACATCCCTATTTTCATTGGAGAAATGTTGGAGGATATGCAATAAGAGTTCTTATTCACCTCAGAGAGCTACAATTTCCAGAGTTCCTTCTGAAGAGGGATTTAATGTTAAACCACCCCAGCTTCAGATTTTCTAGAACTAGTGCTTGAACTGGGGGGGGGGGGGAGCTTTGTGGTCATAAAATCTTGGTGGATGGTCACAAATAACAGAAATAAAAGAAGACAGAAGTACACGGTCATTCTTTTTCCTCTCCCCTTGTATATTTTTAATCAGTTGTTCCTACGATGAATGTGATTTAAGAACGAACAACTAAAAAGAAAAAAAATGCATGCTGCTAATCATGCACACGCCCCAAATCCTTTGAATAAAGAAGAATTCTGTTTTGGGGGGATCTCTCCCTATGTCCTTTAGGAATACATAACTTTAAAGAAGATTAAATGCTATGTTGAAATTATCTTTCTGGCAGACATAACTAAATGGGAGGATTCTTCTATTATCTGGAGTGCTAGGTACAAATACTTATTTTAAAGAAACTTTCACAAAAACCAAACTAATTATGTGATGGCTCAAATCTGATAAAATGTGACATTTAACTGACTGTTCACACTTTTTCTTCCGAGAATTGACTATTTTGTTACAGTGCAGGACATGTTTACTGCCCTAATGAGGCTCACCATCCCCAAAGCCTACTTTAACTTTGATTCAGGAGTGCAAAATATGTATTGGCCCATTATCCCAAGTGCTTTTCTCCAGTTATTTGCTAATGAAACTTCTTGTCTCTCTTGATTAGATGGTGCCATTTAGAATAACCTTCTTCCAGTAGTACAGCAATGACATGTTAACGCCATATGTCTATAAACATCACTTCATGGCTTCCACATCTTGGTCACACTCTACCAAGATCAAGTGCCCAAAGTCGGAATCTCTAGTCACATAAGGAAGGGCAGATCCTTTCCTTGGCTCCTGTGACCAAACATGAACTGGGGACAGGGAAAAAGTGGCCTTCCACACCAGCAAACCCTGGTTCAGCTCCTGTCAATTTTACCCAAGAGACAAATTGCCCATTGTTTCCATCTCTCTTTATGGTTTTCATCTCTCCACATTAAGTTGGTTTGCCATGTGGAGAGCACAGTGGGGGATTGATTATGATGATGAAAGACCAAAGAGTCAGAACACAGGATACCATTGGATGCAGCGTTTTGACAAGCTGGCATATATTATCTCTGCGTGTTTTTGTTGGCATCTGTCTGTCTCAAGAGACAATGCAGTGCCCCTGCAGGGGTAAAGTCAAAATGTTGTATTAGTAGCACCGAAGTGACCGCTTGGGGCACAAGCCTCGGCAGTGTGTATGGAGGTCCTCGGCTGCCCAGATGACAAGACTTGGCCTCTGCTGATGTGGTCTAAAGGAAAGCAGAGCAATACATTTGTCACCAGCTTGGCTGCAGGAGTTGCCAGAAGGAAGCATATGAGCTGCCATCCAACTGTCTTAGACTCCACTCCAGATTTGTGTAGAATTTACACCTTAGCCTTTTCCTCTTCAGTGGAGGTTTAGGATGAGAGTTTTACTTCTCCTAGATGGGCTACTTTCCCAGGTTGACAGGCCCCATCTGCCCCTCACTTCTCTCTATGGCATGTGCAGAAACTGCCTTCTAGACCATTGGACCCACTATTGGTCTTGTCTGTTCAATCCACTGGAGCCCGTCTTTGCATGCAGGGGAAGTCACTAAGTAACTAAGGATTCAAGGCCCATTGGCTACCCCCTCCTGGTTTAGCTGGCCAATTGAAGCCATTTCCCAGGGTGAGGGCACTGTCACATGCTGACATAAATAATATGTGGCATATATGTAAATATATATTTACACATATACACACACCACTTATCTTGTCAGTATTATAGATCCTCACCCTACATTTAATACACATTCAATGCCCATTTAAAGCATGTGACATCAATCCAAGAATCCTGAGCACTGTAGTTTGTTGAGAATACTGGGAATCATAGCTCTGTGAGGGGAAAACTACAGTTCCCAAGATTCTTTGGGGGGTGGGGAAGAATGCTCATTTGCATGAAGTGTATGGTGTGGATCTGACCTGCCTTTCTAAAACTGTAGTCAAAGTGATTTATTTTTTTGTAAAACAGAATTTGCTGCCACACACAGGTTCTTAATCAATCATGTATTTAGAGACCATAGTTCTACAGTTATCAAACAGAGGGAGGGAACCTGGTCTCTCCCCCCCCATATTAGATAATTCCCACCACTATGGCCAATGGTCAGGAAATTGTAGTTGAACAACATCTGGAGGGAAGCAGGTTGTCTACCCTTATTTACGAAAACAATGAAGCTATGCAGAAAGGCACCAAGTTCCATGGGAGTGCTGGGTCAGATCATATGCAACTGTCTTGCCATTGTAGAACAGAGTGTTCCAGGGCTGTGCTGGACTGCGTCTAAGAAATGTGTTGTCATCTATAGGTAATGTTTGCTTTCATCTCAAAGGTTAGTTACCAGCAACGTGCATACATTAAGCAGTCATTTAGAACAGTACAAGAAGATGTTTACTTAATAAGCCGCAGCATATGTCATGTTCTCCCGTTGTAACAAAATGGAATCTCTGAGACATAGTAAAAAGAACTCAATAGAGCAGTTTTATTCAATTACCTTTTCTTGGTGGGTTTTCTTTCCTCCCTCTGCTTGCCTGCAGGGGCATAATAAGACAGGAAAGCAAGTGAGGAACCCCTCTTTAGTGTGTGTGTGTGTGTGTGTGTGTGTGTGTGTGCGCGCGCACACACACACACACACACACACACACAGATAAAAGCCTATGCATTGAACTGGCACCAGCTACAAAGCCTTCTCCTACTACCGAGAGTACAGAGAGGCCATCACAGTGTGTTCTTGTTTAGGGGTTATTGCTGGAGGCATATTTAAGTTTTGAAGATGTAATATTTTTGCAGCTACTGGACAAACCTGCCAATTTATGTCACCATTTCCGAAAGCTTAATTTCAGTTCTTCACAATTCCACAACAATGTTCATTCCCTCAGAAAAAGCCCTTGTGGAAATTCATCAGCACTTACACCCCATTTCCCTTTTCTTCTCTCCCAATTGCCCGGTCATTTTCCCATGCTTCTCTGCTTCCTTCTCTTCCATGCCACCCACTGCAGCATTTCATCAAACGAGACCCCCTAGCCCTTCCCCCCCCAATGTCACTTTGGGGGTGACTCAAGCACTATCATGCCTTGAGTGGAGGACACCAGCCTTTGAAGAAAGATTTCTCCCCTGTAACATGACTTTACGTTATGATATCATTTTCATTTATTCTTATTACAAACCTAGGGAGCTGCCTTATACTGAATCAAACCATAAGTCCATCTAACTATTGTCTGCACTGAGTGGCAGCAACTCTCCAGAGTTATCTCCCAGCTCCATCTGGAGATGCCATGAACTGAACCTGGGACCTTGTGCTTGCAAAACAGAGCTATGGCCCTTCCCCAATTTTGGCATGGCTTCAGTTCTGGATGTTTGACTACCCCAGCAGGAATGCTGTTGGGTTATTGCTTTAATCTGCAGCCTTAAATTCACCTCCCTGGGAGTAAGCTCCCTTGAATTCAAGAAGACCAAAATTTGAGTAGGCAAATTTAGGATTACAGTCTGAATGTCTTTATATAGCCACTTTGTGAGGTTTGCTCAAAAAGCAGTATACGAATACCTTACTCGATTAATTAATGAATAAGACATTTGTTTACAGGGGCTCTAAAATTGTCATTTGCCACAAATGTACCACTAAATTTGGCGCCTGTAGTCCCACGACCCTGAGATATGCTGCTATTAACCATGAATGATTTTTAATCTACCCCCTACTACCCCCTTTCTATAAACTCTATTAAAACCCTGAGCGTGGTGGATGTTGGCTTTGAATTAATATGTGAAAACAACTTTCGGTAATGATGGAATTCATCTAAGCCACACTAGGAGGAAAAAAAGCAGGCAACTGTTCCTGTTATTGTTTGCTAGGGAAAGCTATTGGGGCTTATTGATTGGTGCCTGCCATAGCTACTCAAGGGCCCTCAGCAGTGTTTATGATATTTTACGCCACATTAACCGCTGAGATGATATGCTATGACAGCTCTGAAAAAAAATGTATCTCTGAGTTCTAAATTGCTCCAATTATCCCTTTAGCATAACAGTTGCTTTCTAAGGGGCAGAGGGGAACATTCAAGGAAAAGGAAGAGAAAGGAGGGAGGGAAGGAGCCAATTTTCACAATGGCTCATCACCCGCCCCCCTCTTTCCCTCCCCTCCGCTCAAGCCCGTCACAGCTTTTCTTCACTGTAGCTTTTTATAATTCTTAACATATGGCCTTTGTTTTGATAGGCGTAAAATTGCATCAAGGTCATTTTTTAATAATTGTCAATAGTCCCAGAACGGCGGTCAGTTTTATTGACACCTCTGATGAAGGGTTCAGGGAGTGGTAAGTAGTGCAGAGTCCCATGCCTGGGAAAAGCTGATCCACTGAGAAACAGATCATTATTGATATTAGTAAATTAGTATTGATAGAAATTTGATGAGTATTGTGCATCTGGATCACTCCACAATATGCTAATGTTCACAGATGCCCTCCGCTCCAGTTGCTTCACAAAGCCATCTATTGACAGCTTTCCCTGTTTTTTTCTGCCTTTCTTTCCTTGAAACAGAAAGCTTAGGAAGTAAGAGAATAAGATATGCTTTCTAAAGTCCCCTATAAAGGTCAGCTATATGAAAACCTCCCAGTGAGGTCCTTTACCAAATATATCACCCTAGCTCATTTATTGTCACTTTTTGTGCCATTGCTAATAGGAATTTCCCATCATTTTGAGCAATGGACTGTACTTTAGCTAAGGGTGGTAAAAAGCTTCATGTACCCCAAACAGCTCAGTATTAAACCTAGGGGAGAGTGGTAAGGAAAACGTCCTGTGTATTTTCACTAATGATTTCATAGTGCTGAAAAATGCCCAAACTCCCTGAGACTATTTAAGTGAATTTAGCATATTCCACCGCTCCATTAAAGAGGAGAATTATGCAATATTATTCCAGCAGGTGAAAGCATACACCCTGAATTGCCTGTACAGGAGAGGTTTTACAGCAGATTACTTGTTACCAGAGCCAAAAATATGGAGTCAGGTTACAGGCAAACTTGGTTTAAATTAGGGCCACATTTTATAGTTTTGCTACAAATGAACCTTTTAAGGGAAATGAATTTTACTCATCACAAGTTAACCTACATCAGGAGAGCACCTCTCTGGCCATGAGAATGTGCCTTCACTGACTCTGTTCCTACACTCTACTCTTTTAGAGAAGCAAGGCCTTCTTCAGTTGCCCACTCCCAGAGACCCCCCAGCTCCAGATTGGTGAGGCAGATTAGCCCCAAAGATGCTCCATGTCCTACCTTTGGGTCCCACAGCCCTAAGCTCTTGTCACTGCCACTTGATAGTCCTGAGCACCTATCACTCTAGGCATGATAATTGGCACCTATGCCCACATTAACTGCTTATCTCTCTCTGATAGGTAGTACAGAGAATGTGAATAAGCTGCCTACAGGGCCAGTGTGAAGACATGGGGGTGGGTGGGATATTCATCTATGAAATTCTAGAATAACGCTGTACTATTCCAAGGGAGGAGATGTAGGTGTCAGAAATTCAAAGAGGCTAGGGTAAAGGAGGCACAGGCTTATGTAGCCTCATTGAAATCTTGAGCACAGGCTGGAGTCACACACTGGGTAGTGGGGGTTTTTTACATGAGAATGATGGAATAGAAATGTACAAACAAGCAAACCTTTTTTGTTGATTCATAGATAATCTTGAACTAGGGAAGTCATGGTGGCACTTGGGTTGGTGATGCTAGTCACTGATGCTTAATTTTTTCCTGAATACTTACTAAAATTTCTCAGTTGCCTTTGTAGGAATCCAGTGTTCATAGTAATGTACAAAACTCCAAAAGGACCATTAGGGGAAATCACACACACAAAGAATCTGTCCATTAGGAGAGAATCACACTAAAATGCTGGTGAGGACTACTTTATTAAAATAAATCACAAGCTAGTGTGGAAATATGGCGAACCAAATTTAAGATTGGAAAAATGAGAAACAAAGAAATTGAAAATGACATATTTAGCCACCTCCACTTTGGCTCTGCAGATGTTATTGGACCTCAAATCCCATCAGCACCAGTCAGCATGGCCAATGGGCAGGGGTGATAGGACTTGTAGTCCAGCAACACGTGACAGCCCATGGCCATGCCTGACTTAAAGCGAGAGTGTTGTTTCTTTATGAATGGACCATAGCCTCTGCTGCTGGGCCAGGCAATGTTTTAGGCAGACACGCCTTCCTACAGATAAAGATTGGCAAGCCCTAGTGTCTGCTGCCTTTGGAGTTGAGGTTGGGGAGAGAATAGAGCAGGGGCAGACCTTTGGCAATATAGGGACCTGAGCGAGGTCAAAATTAGGTGCCCCTGAATGGATCTTCTCAATTCCCCCCTTCCCTCTGTTCGACACTCATTGTGGAGGAAGTGCTCGTACCACCCTAAATTCAGTGCTGAAAAGAGGCCCTGGGGCTCTGGGGTCCTTCCTCAGACCTGCTGCTGCTTCTGCTACTGGGGCTGCCTCTTGGACTATAGCCCGGCTGCTGTTCTCCTACCCAATGTCATGGGAGAGAGAGCTGCTTTTTCATACTCTCTTCCCAGATCCCACTGCTGCCATTCAAGAGCATCCAGGAGCCTTGCCATGCTGCCACTGCCCTCACTCCATCTGCGCCTTTCCCTGCAACTCCCAAGAATACAGTTTGCAGAGATCCATTTGTTTCCTTCCTTCCTTCCTTCCTTCTCCCACCCACCCCTCCTTTCCTTCATGCCTTATGCTATTTCTCCTTTTCTTGTGGGGATTTGATTTAATAAGTCCCCTTACTGCAGCCTCTGTGAGGAACTTTTCTGTTCAATTGCCTTCACTGACAGAAGACGGTTCGCCAAAACCCCATTCCCTTGTCACCAGCAAAAGTTAATAGATATTGTACTGTAAAGTGGATGGAAAGAAATCCTGATACCGACGGCCTGCTAAAATGTTCCTAGCAGGGCTGATATATTTAGGAACTGGCACTGTTGGAAGCGAGTTATAACCTGCTCGTGACTTTATAAGACACCACTGGATCCTGAGAATCAACAACAACAGAGAGAAGAAGATAATGTCAGCAGCTTGGGGTTGCTAGCCTGGAGGCCCCTATATGTTGGTTATTATGCCCTAGTCAAATATTTACTTGGCACATTTATTTGATACATGCACATCCTTACTCTCTCCCAGCACTGAATGCAAGATGGCACACAATGGGTCCCTGGGGTGTCTCCCACCCAGGCCCGGACCTGCTTGGCTTCAGCAACAATGGCTGCATCATATGCCCCCAGTCTGTGCCCTGGAACCCCTGGTGAAACCACTAGTGAATGCACTACCAATAAAATATTATTGACGGTGCATCAACACTTTACGAGGTTTAATTTTCCATGCAAACATTTCATTATGTACATCATAGACTCCAAAACACTGTACCTTCAAAAGAAAGAAAGAGAGAGAGATCATTTTAAGATGAGTTGCACAACGAGTAGATTCAAACCTTTGGTGTTGTTTTCAGGAAGGTGAGTTATAAGCCTGAAATAATAACAAGCACATTGAAATAATACAATCTTGGCCGTCTCCTCTTCTGATTTTCCTGCCCAGCTGAGACGTGCCCCCCTATTTAGCTCGAAGCTGCTCCTCTAATGTAAAGAGAAACTAACGAATGTCTCCCCTTTG